AGCGACTTTATGATGCTTTTAGATCATAAATGCAAATTGCGACGTTTGAAATGACATGTACTCATTCTGTGCTAAAAAATCATTTATATACAAGCATTGAAGCATTGTTATATACTTTTGCATAGAATAAAGTCATTAGTTGTTGTATAGTTGACTTGAACTGTTATGAACCCCCAAGAATCAGAAATATCACAGGTTTTTCGATCGATCACGTTAACATGAACGACGCCATTTTGACAAGATTTGTTTAGCGATGTCAGCATGTTGGCACGTGAAGTTTTTTCCCTATTAAAACTAGAAGATGAATATAATTCCCGATATTAATCTTTACATTGTAGGAACTGGATGTTTATGAGCTGGTAGGCTGGTTTTGATGCGCATCACAGTTAAAAAAACTCAAATTTCATAGTGATAATTTTGTTTACATGTTTGTTTACGTTGTGGTTGCCCGAATTTGAAGTCAAAGTGAAGTCATACAATGAGGTATCGCTTTGCATGACGGTAAATTTTCCGATTTTATAGAATATTTTGACAGTATTGTAATCTGTCTGACTTCCTGATCCCCTCGGCCCGGGTGTGAACGGTTTGTTTACCCGCACCGCGGGTCGAGACAAAAGAACGCTAGTCGTTTCCAGATCGGGGATAGAGAGACTGTGCTCTATTATAGTACCACCTAACTCCATCATTATACGAGACACAAGGGTCTGATTTAGATGTAGTATCTTACTTACCTCTACCATAGTACCACCTAACTCCATCATTAATGAGACACAAGAGTCTGATTTAGATGTAGTATCATACCTACCTCAACCATAGTACCACCTAACTCCATCATTAATGAGACACAAAGGTCTGATTTAGATGAAGTATCTTACTTACCTCAACCATTGTACCACCTAACTCCATCATTAATGAGACACAAGAGTCTGATTTAGATGTAGTATCTTACTTACCTCAACCATTGTACCACCTAACTCCATCATTAATGAGACACAAAAGTCTGATTTAGATGTAGTATCTTACTTACACTCAACCATAGTACCACCTAACTCCATCATTAATGAAATACAAGAGTCTGATTTAGATGTATCTTATTTACCTCTACCATAGTACCACCTAACTCCATCATTAATGAGACACAAGAGTCTGATTTAGATGTAGTATCTTACTTACCTCTACCATAGTACCACCTAACTCAGTCATTAATGAGACACAAGGGTCTGACTGAGATGTATCTTACTTACCTCTGCCATAGTACCACCTAACTCCATCATTAATGAGACACATGAGTCTGATTTAGATGTAGTATCTTACATACCTCTACCATAGTACCACCTAACTCCATCATTAATGAGACACACAAGTCTGATTTAGATGTAGTATCTTACTTACCTCTACCATAGTACCACCTATTCCATCATTAATGAGACACAAGAGTCTGATTTAGATGTAGTGTCTTACTTACCTCTACCATAGTACCACTTAACTCCATCATTAATGAGACACAAGAGTCTGATTTAGATGTAGTATCTTATTTACCTCTACCATAGTACCACCTAACTCCATCATTAATGAGACACAAGAGTCTGATTTAGATGGAGTATCTTACTTACCTCTGTCATAGTACCACCTAACTCCATTATTAATGAGACACACAAGTCTGATTTAGATGTAGTATCTTACTTACCTCTACCATAGTACCACCTAACTCAGTCATTAATGAGACACAAGGGTCTGATTGAGATGTATCTTACTTACCTCTGCCATAGTACCACCTAACTCCATCATTAATGAGACACATGAGTCTGATTTAGATGTAGTATCTTACATACCTCTACCATAGTACCACCTAACTCCATCATTAATGAGACACATGAGTCTGATTTAGATGTAGTATCTTACTTACCTCTACCATAGTACCACCTAACTCAGTCATTAATGAGACACAAGGGTCTGATTGAGATGTATCTCACTTACCTCTACCATTGTACCACCTAACTCCATCATTGTATGAGACACAAGGGTCTGATTTAGATGTAGTATCTTACATACCTCTACCATAGTACCACCTAACTCCATCATTATATGAGACACAAGGGTCTGATTTAGATGGAGTATCATACTTACCTCTACCATAGTACCACCTAACTCCATCATTAATGAGACACAATGGTCTGATTTAGATGTAGTATCTTACTTACCTCTACCATAGTACCACCTAACTCCATCATTAATGAGACATAAGGGTCTGATTTAGATTTAGATGTAGTATCTTACTTACCTCTACCATAGTACCACCTAACTCCATCATTAATGAGACACAAGGGTCTGATTTAGATGTAATATCTTTGTTTTGAAGTTTTCTGCATGATATTCTCAGCTCAACTTTGCTGACTGGTCCACTACCTGCTGCCACACTTGCCATTATTGAAATTACTGCAATGAAGATTTAGTGATATATTTATAATAATAATAATTATAATTGATATGGTAATAATAATAATGATATGAGGTTATTACGAGGATACTGTAAAGTATGCACAAAGACAGTACAGCGGGAGTATCGACCAACATGCAGTGGAGGTCAATGTGACAGCGTTCTGTCAGAGTGGAATTCGCATTTGCTAATATGGTAGGATGAAATTACCCTGTGAAATACCGCAAAATTTATGGCATTACGGTGTCAAATGTATAATAATAATCTTTATTGCATCTTTAGAAATACAAATCTATCAGTGACTAGCAAATAAAGAAATAAAAATAATTTGAAAACTAATAAGTATCAAAATATAGATAAATAAAAGTTAAACAAGAAAGCCATCTGAGATGGCAGATCTCCCATCTTCATATTGTGATTGGTTCAAGCAATTTCTGTTGATGAAAGGGAGGAGTGTACATAGTAATAAATGTGGGTATAGTCGGCTTATAGTTATTTCAGAATTTGCAATTGTTATTGACGTCACATGCCATAAAACAAGGCTGTGTGATTAGTCCAACATTATTTAATATTTTCATTAAAGATTTAAAAGACCGCCTTGACAAAACAAACACAGAACCACCAACATTGAATAATACACCAGTAAACTCATTAATATATGCAGATGACACGGCTCTCATTTCCACTACATCAGATGGACTTCAACAAGCTTTGAATGAACTTGAACAATATTGCTCAAATTGGCAACTTAAAATAAACATATCTAAAACTGAAATAGTTATTTTCAATAAATCACCACTGCAAAAAGATACTTTTTTTACTATTGGCAACTAATGCATTAAACGTGATCAGCAGTATATTTATTTAGGGATTATTTTCAGTTCAAATGGTAATTTCAATGAGACAACAGCCAATATAGCAGAGAAAGCTGGAAAAGCACTTTTTGCTATGAACAAAATACTATGGGATAATAAAAATATTAAACTTTCTTTACATTTATTTAACATTTTTATAAAACCCATCCTTCTATATGGATCAGAGGTATGGGGACAAAGTTTCATCAACAACAACAAATAGGAAAAAAACACGATAGAAAAAATTCATTTGAAGTTTTGTAAGCAAATCTTGCAGATTAACAGGACCTCATGTAATCTAGCAGCAAGAGCAGAATTGGGGCAATATCCTCTTTTAATTGACATCAAAAAACAAATAATAAAATAT